CCCCAAAACCCCAAAACCCCAAAACCCCATAACTCCCTAACTCGATTGAATTAGATATACATAAGACTAAAAATGGATCAACCTTTAGATGGTGATGAAGAAAAGAAATCCAATGAGTTAATGCCTCCTAAAGCTAATTCTAGACTTCAAAGATCTAACCTCGCTGAGAGATCTCTTCTCAATGAAGAAGAGAAGGTCTATCTCAACGTCCAGAGAGCTTACAGGTTTGGGATTGTCATCCTCGCTATTGCTAATTTTATTGCATCTTGGATAGCTTCTTCAGGGATATCCTCCTATACTGCCTCGTTAAGAGATTTGGAAGAAAACTGGAGCCAGCGACCAATAGGTAAGCATGATCATTGACCCAAATAGTTGATATCCAGGCTGTTCAGGGTACTTGTCCTCAAGGATACGAGCCTTTGATCCAAGATGAATGGCCAGGCACCATTGGTGGCTGAGATTGTAGTGACACTTGGGCCTTTTACTACTCAGACCTTGACAGAGGCTATTGTAGGTAAGCAATGACCAACCTTATTTAAGCTGTATCTGATCCGTGATTTAGCCGCAATCAGACAAGAGTTGGATGCAAACATGTTAATGAGAGACCTCCAGTCCCATTGACTACATTCTATTCATATAAGATCTGAGCTAAAAGAGAAGGAGAGCCATTTTATAAAGCTGAAAGACCTTCCAGCCACTTTGGGGATAGTTCTTGTCCTTACGGATACCAATCCTGTGGAAATGGAGATGCTAAAGAAAGATACTGAGTAAAAGAAGGCTCATTATGCCCAGTTAATAATATAAAGATAGGAAAAAGCTCATATGAGTTCTCTGATGACTATAAGACAATACAACTTGACTCAGAAGTTGTCCTTGGGTTTACTAATACTTCCAATAGCCTTGCAATATCAAGAATCAACATTGCAGAAGGAAACATCTGTGCTGATCCTGAAGAGTCTGATGTGACAGAAGGGAGGAAAATTTATTTGCTTTCTGAAAGATCTTCCTCTCAATGTTCCAACAAGATTGCTGGAGAGACCATAGATCCAAGATACGAAGAACTTGGAATTATTAGAGAAGACAGGCTTTACCAAGATAATGGTGTTACTAAGGAGACTCAAGGTTTGCCGAATTACCCTACTGAAGATTCAGAGAATTACTATTGGAACCTCTACCAAAACAGGTTCTTCCAATGGCATCCTGATTGTGATGGAGCTGCAGGGTTAAGCAAAGTTGATATTATCTCTTTGATCGATAATTCTATGGATGTTCCTGGGTCCCTATCCACCGTATTCTGGCAATGCTTAATCTTTCTCTGTATTGTCCTTGCTCTTTTACTGATCTACTTCTGTGTTTCAGCTCCTACAAACAAAAGCGAAGTAGATTGCTTGAAGATCTTTGAGTACGTTTCTGTCTTCACCAAACTCTGTCTCATTATCATTGTTATTTACTACTGGTTCTCTACTATCTCTACAATCAATTCATTCTCCTCTGTTGTATATCAAATTGGAGTCTCCCAGTGCTCGGATGAGTTCACCGATAAGATCTTTATGAGCTATAGCACTACTCTGGTAAGAAGGAGAATTATTTTTTTCTAAATTAAATATAGGGCTCATCAAATGGAAAGAACTACTTCTCACTTGTGACATCGATAATTGTTCTCCTTACATGTGGAGCATACGCAGTTTTGGTAAGTAGCTTCACTCAAGGTTGCATCGACAGTGGAGTATTTGTAGTAGGGGTGGGCTTAGTAAAGAAGAGTTGGGTATGGAGGTTAAGTTTAAATGAGGTCTAATATGTGACGAATGGAGAGAATTGGGTTAGACATAATTTACTTTCTGCTCCATAAGATTTCTCTTCCTATAATCCTTATTTTAGCTATTCATCGGAAAATTCAATGCATTCTTCAGACCAGTCAACAAACCCCACAAAGTAAGCTCCTCCATAACCCTCCAGGCCGACTACTCCATCGTCGAGTTACAAAACGCTAACTCCTCCTCCTCCAGTGACTAACCACCATATCCCCAATCACTCACCTAAAATTCCACCAAAATTCTCTCCTATCTTCCCACTTCCCCACTCAGAACCCTAAAGTCCCGCCCCCAAAGCGGAGCCCGCTTTGGGGGCTCTGACTGTAGAACTCTTGGGATTGGTAGTGCAGTGAAGGACAGTTTAGAGGGAGCTGGGCTAGGGGATTTGAGGGCGGTTCTTAAGTGCAATTTTGGGAAGTTGAAGGGGTTTTGGGGTTTTGGGGTTTTGGGG